TGGGGTCAAAAAGCACACCTGTGACTAGTGTGGGTCATCCTTCACCACTGCACGTGAGCTTAAAGAACAATCATAAGTGAATCCTCACAAGAGAGACACCATACAAGTGCAGACACTGTGACAAAAGCTTCTCACAATCAGGTCATCGTAACAAACATGAACGTACACACATGGAAGTGAACTTCAGCTGTGACCAGTGTGACAAGAGCTTCAGGAATCTCAGTTCATACTCCGAACACAAACGATCCCACACTGTAAATAAACTGTTTCACTGTTACCAATGTGCAAAAACCTTCACTTCATTATCTGCTCTGTGCAAACATCAGCCTTATCATGCAGGACTAAAATCACATGATCACAATGACTCTGAAGAGAGAGAAAGATCCTCTTCTGGTTTCAGAGTTGGACTTGAGATCAGGCTCCACAGAGTTCAGATGGAATCTGTAGTTTTTATTATGAAATCCTGATAATGTTAAAGCATTAGTTATATTTGATTAACTCTGTGTAAAGTTTGTCTTATTAAATAGTTTGGTGTGAAAAATAAAGAATTGGTCTCAGAACAAGTAGTTTGTTTCCGATTCAAACTAATTTAACTGTTTTCAGTGGTACATGTGGAGGTTTGTCAGAGGAGGAGACTCACACTGAACAGAGAGTATGTTTAAAATGCTTTGTGACTAACATCTCACACATTCCAATAAAGCTGTTGTTCCTTCATTGCAACAGGAGTTTGCAGATGTGTTGTGCACCTTTTTGAAACGCAGCCTGGCATGAAAGTGTGTCCATGGCCTAACAGGTTGCCTGAGCAGAAGAGACAAATTGTGAAAAAAGGAATTGGCTGAAATGGTGAAAATGCTGTTATCATAGGATGAAGTGAGGATTTGTTCCTCAGTGTTTGGTCTCCTATGCTTATCTGTTTGCCAGATGAGTTGTCCCAGGTTTTGAGAGGGGCCGGTTGTGTTTAAGGTACTTCAAGGTAATTAAGAAGTGAGCACATAGTTTTATACAGTTCTTTGATGATTATCACAAAGTGAACAAGGTCTCATGGTTTGATGCTTATCCCATGCCAAAGGTTGACCTGGACTTTATAAGCACTCCTTGGTTGTTTATGATGCTGGATTTAACCAATGCCTACTGGCAGATTCCCTTGTCTGCACAGTCCAAAGACAAAAACTGGTGATGGCCAGAGGGGCCGATGGCGTGTAATGGCAGCCTCGCAGTCAGTCTGCCCCAGGGCAGCTGTGGCTACAACTGTAGCTTACCTCCACCAGTGTGTGAATCTCAAAAGCACTGTATAAATGCATTTATTATTATTATTATCCATCCATCCATCCGCTTATCCTTTTCAGGGTTGCAGGGGGCGCTGGAGCCTATCCCAGCTGTCACAGGGCGAGAGGCGGGGTACACCCTGGACAGGTCGCCAG